ACTTTGTTTGCTTTCCGGTGACTTCTCATGTGTCTCCAGCATCCGTGGCTTTAGTTCTGTAGCAAAGTCGCCCCTTTTGGCGCCAGGAGACGTGGTTGGAAATGGCTCATTTCACCCCAGGAATTTCGCCCTCTGCGCTGCCAAGCACGGGGGTCCCCGCCGATGGGGTAACGCAGTCGGTCTGCCCCGCCGCCAGCCCCCCTCCCAGCCCCTCCTGGCACACCGGAGACTCCTTCGGCGTAATACCGCGGCGGGGATGCGAGACCGCCTATGAAAACATTGACTGGGTGCTGCACTGAGGAGACGCGGCACGAGAACACGCGTGCAGGCAGCCAGCGTGCCGGCGGGTGCCACAGCGCTGCCCCCCACGCCTCGCCATGCCAGCTCTCAGCTGCAGCAGGGCTACGTTTAAATTCGGGCCACCCTGCTCGCCCACCGCGGCCCCTTCTCCCTCCCGCCCCGTGGGTGTTATGTACAGAACGCGCTTGCTGCATCGGGGCTGTGCTGGCGGGGATGCCTGCCCTGTATGGAATCCAGATGACGCCTCTGATTTCACTTTACAGCAGCCAACGGCGTCTCCAGATTGTTCTTCTGCCGTCCGCCTGCACGTGTGCATCGCGTACGTTGTGGAATGAAAGCCAAATTTGTGGTCCGTCCGCTTACGGAGATATGGATACAGAAGGTGTTGTATATGGTCACTGAGGAGAAATAGTAATGCATATGTAAAAAATGAAAGGTTTTCTCCTTGATCCTTTTATACGTGAAGATTAATCGTATATTATGATACAATAATTAGGGACTTTTTTCATCAAAATGTGGAGGTTTCTTTTAAAGTTCAAAACTTGTTGTCATCTGCATCTATCTTCAAGACTTTCAGACACTTCAAACTACAATTTAAAGTGACTTTTTTTATTCATATGCTGACATAATTTTCCTTGGAATGATTTATATTTCAATAATAGCTTAAATGATGTTTTGCATTCTACACTTTGATGTCATGCAGGAGGTGCCATCACAAGATAAACTTTCACACCTGAGAGTCAATAAATTGTGCTTAAGCAGTCTAATGGAAATATTGCAAATGACCGTATAGAGTTATGTGCGGTACAGATACACGTATATGTTTAACAAAGGCCTGTGTTTGATCGTACGGCGTCATTAGCTTTGACACCGTTGCATGGTACCAGTTTACAGTGATATGAATCCTATAATACTATATCATGCTTTTATCCACTAAATAAAAACCTGCCCTATGTTTTATTACAAAGTAGGTGGCCTGGAGGAAAAATATATGTATTCTTTCCTTTTGGAATAAAATATGCATTTGGGCTTCTCATTTCATCTCCAATCTGTGTTATTCCTTAAAAATGCAGAACTGCCTGAAGTCCTCTTTAATATTTAATTCAACAACTTTTTAATCTGTCATTATGCTGTGATGAAGTAAGCATCAAGTGTCGCTGAAAAAGATTAAATTATACTTGGAAATAGGAATTGAAATGATTTAGGGTTGGAGGCTGAATATTTGCTTTGCACAAGTAATAATAGTAGGAGCTTGGGTGAAGCACGGGTTTGGATCTGGCTCTAATGCCTCTGCCGATCCTCTCTCCCTGGTGGCTGCCCCGTGATTTACTCTGGCACTGCCAAGCTTTATTTGATTTAAATGGAGGTAGGAAGTGGAAATTCCACACTACAATACATTAATTACTCTCTGCTACTCCTTACCCTGATTTTCTTTTTCTCTGTAAACATCATAAACTCCAATGCAGGCAACCCAACGGATAGCCGCTCCGAGCTACCCTATAATTCCTTGTTAACAAGCTTATCTTAAAATGGAAAAGCAGGAATAATTAATATCTACCTCTGGAAGAATGGATGATGTGAAACAGTGGAACACTTGTTCCTGTCCATTCATGAGGGATGCCCCCCTGTAACGAGGGGACTTGTGCCAACATCATCCAATTGCTTAACTTGGGCTTGCGCTCTCCCTTTCCTTTCTGAAGCCGCCTTTGAATTTCGCTGCTGGGGTTCTGGAGAGAAGGGGAAGAGCGATATCACAGCGCGGCCGAGGGGCCTTGAGGGACCCGGCTCCAAAACCTGCTTTATGTGAAGGCAACCCCGCGGCGCCTGTGCTCCCACGGTGGCCACGATCTGCGCGTGTCACAAACCACGAGCAGGTTTGGCGCCACGGGGTGTAACTCTTCTCCCTCAGGGAGCGCTCCGCTCCCAACGGCGTGCGATGGGCATGGAGGGAGGGGAAGGGAGATCCGTGGTGCCCCCAGCCAGGGCGCCTTGCGGGGCTGGATGTCTCCGCATCCTCCCACATGACAGCTCTTTCCAATCGTATATAATACAATTTTGGAATCGTGGGGAGTTTCCCAAGGAAGAATATCCTTGCAGCATTAATCACACCACTACCTGGCAGAATAAAAGCTCTCTCGAAGCACAGCGTCCTCTGAGGTGTGAGCGGGAAGAGCCAGGCCGTAGGAATATCACGGAAGTTCCCTTAATGGCTGCCTGTGTTACAGGAAAGCTACGTCTCCACGGCCTCAGGATTTAGTCCAGAGTTTGATACACCTTGCCATCCAGCTTGAGAGAGGGGACCACGTTATTTGTTTATAAATCTGGCGAACCCGCTCTGTTTTATATAGCGTATTGTAAAAAAGGCGTCCGTTCCCTCCTCTCCAATGCATTATTTATAATTATTCTCCCTTCTTTGTAGAAATGTGAATACCTATATAAATAATTGATTGCAACTATTAATTGGGGAACATGCAGTATTTTCGTACAGGATCGCTCCCCTCTGGGGGGCACGCCTGGCCGCCCCACGGCTGCGAGCACGCCCCACCGCGTGCGGGGCCCCGGGGGCTGATCCGGTCTTGTGCAAAGGTGAATTTTGTCTGACAGGGACAGAACTTTTTTCTCGTCCAGAAAGATGTATAACGTACTGTCAGAGAACAAGCCTGATATGTGCTGCTGTAGAGCTGAGCACCTTTTAACCTCTTCAGACTGTAAATTCTGAGCAGTTGATATTTGAGTGTAATTCCTCTCAAACTGGCATTATTATTTGATTGCAATGAATTACCTTTTTGAAAAAAATCATAAGTATAAATTCACTTGACTGATCCTGCAAATTATTTATGATGTAGTGTTTTGGTCTAGGATAACCTTTTAAAATAAATCAGTTTTTCAATAATAGTTCAATGTTTGCCCACCTAATGGTGTTCCCATTAAGATCTGCATTTGTCACCAACCTGCCTTTTCAGCTCGTGCGGGAGACAAGTTACCGCCCCTAAACCCACTATGCTTGTAGGGTAAAGTAAATGCATGTCTTTGTAGGAGAATAAATAAAAAGAGCAAGCTGAGTCAATAAGCGGGTTCAATTCATGCCTCCAGCAATGGCGGACAGCTCATTTTGTAGATGTGGGTGTTTTGTTTACATTTATAATGCAGCTTTATTTAATGCTGACAGATATAGCTTGTGGCAAATGATAGTCAGAATGTATGAGCAGTCATAATGCTTCTGTCTTCTTATAGTGTGCTGCTGAAAATAAGCAGTTCACCTCTGTTTTTATTGAGGAAAGGATATGAGACAGCTATAGCTTCGTGAGGCTATTTATTGAGTTGTTTTACTAGCTGTGAACATGCCGCTTTATAGCAGTTGTGAAAATGGACTTTGCTAGTGTGTGGGAAAGGAAATAACATTGCAGTATACAAGGGTAGTAAAAAAACCCTCTATAAATAATTTTTCAGACTGAAGAATATTCTCATTTAAACAGCTAGAGAGTCTGGTGATTTTTGCCAGATGCCAGCTTTTCCCGGGAAGGTGTTGGGTTACAATTGCTCTATCAAACACTATTAATGTTTTAATGTAGAAGAATAAAATTCGGATAAGCCCCTTCAAGCCGAGGTGTTCAAAGGCTTTGCAGGGCAAGTTGGGCGGCGTTGCCGAGTTCATTTACAAAGCCATCAGTATTTAGTAGCGCCGTGTGATCTTGAGATCCTCAGGTCTGGAAAGAAAGGAGTCCGCCTTGCTTGGCCAAGCCTGCAAAACGCGGGTTCAGCGTGGGCTTGACATCACCGCGCGCTCTACGCTGATGCGCGGGCCGTGCGCGGCTTGGCGGGAGGAGCGGGCGGGAGCGGGCTGGCTGCGCGCCCCGTTCACGCTGTACGGG